AGATACAAGTTTTCCATAAATTAAATATATAATGTTTTTTGTTGTTGTTGTTGTTGTTTTACTACAAGTGCTAAACAGGTGTTTTGTTTAGGAAATGCCTTTGTGGAAAATAAAGATTACTTCATGAACTGATKATTGTGTTTTTCTTTTTCCCATGCTGATTGTACTGACTGCTCTGTAGTGTTTTCTATTTGATGGACTCGAGGTCTGATTTGACAWCATAGTTCGGTTTTGAGCACAGTTTGAACTATTTTGAGGCTAGAGTTCGGTTTTGCTGGAAGAGTCAGAGGTTCTGTGAAAGTAGTTTGAACGCTGGGTTTTGTGTTTACASTTTAGAGATATGGATGGATGGTTTCATCCTAATTATGGCTGATCCAGACAGATGCCATGCTTAATGTGCCGATACTACAAAGCACTGACCTGATGCACAATATCTAATCAACCAGTTAGAAAGCTCTGGTTGGGTGAATGCTGAGATCTTACAATTAAAACCTGCACTTTTCCTAAATCAACCAAATATTCATAAAATAATTTAAAGCCATTTTAACATGGGGAGAGGCAAAAAGAGGCACTTTTAGCTCACACTTCTAAAGCCCTATTTTACTCATGAATGACACTTTTTGGCAAATTAAATAAAAAGACCCACTTGATTCTCGTAGGCCTCCTCCTGGTAGCGAACGGGCAGGTCTGAGGCGTGGACGTTCAGGTAAATGTTGCTGTCYCAGGCGATGCCCCAGCAGCACTGCTGAGCTGCCGCCACCCGTTTGAACTCCATGTGGGCATCGCGGCACTGCTCCCACTGCTGCCCCGCCGTGGACAGGCTGTAGACCCGCCCGTACACGTCCACGGCCCACAGCAGGGAGACGGGCATGGCTGTGCCTGGAGCCAGAGGAATAACAGAAGGAAAAATGGGATTTAYTTTGTTTGTTTATAGGACAACTTGGCAAGGTGCTTCAAAAAACACATTTGAAGAAGTCTTGTTTATTAAATATTTAGTGTCAAGAGCTTTAATCTTTTGCAAGACTAGTTTAGCATTATTATATGGTTACAGAGGAGTTATCCATGACTTATCCAGCCAAAAAAAAGGGCCTTGGTACAGAAGTAATTATGTTAAAAACAGGGGCTCCATGTGGCTGAATCAACACATAAAAATTATTATTACTCAGTCACTTTAACAGATATTAAAGGTCAAATTTAACATGGTAATTTACAACACACACTGTGACTGCGAGATCTCATATACTGTATATAGTATATATAACATTATTATTTTTAAGGTTTGACCAAGTGGATAAAACTCCATCCCTTCTCGGCATAAAATGATCTTAATTTAAGACTTTTTAAACAAAAAGAGGAGGTCAGATAAATCTTTAACTATTCCATCCAAGCAACATTTCAGAGTCAAATGTTTTCTTCTTTGCGTGGGTAACACTGCAAACATGTAATTTGCAGAAAACACAGCTACATCTACAAACACTCAAATTAATTAACAAATTAATTATGGGAACAGTGTTTAAATGATTTGGTCCTTTCAGTTCAAGTCTTAAATTTCTGTCTAAATACTGATAATGTCACAAGATGCTTGACATAAATTTTCAAGTTACCACCTTCATAATGCTTCAGCCTGTATGTATAAACAGCCTGTATGTATGTATATACAGCCTGTATGTATAAACAGCCTGTATGTATGTATAAACAGCCTGTATGTATGTATATACAGCCTGTATGTATGTATATACAGCCTGTATGTATAAACAGCCTGTATGTATGTATAAACAGCCTGTATGTATAAACAGCCTGTATGTACATACAGCCTGTATGTACATACAGCCTGTATGTACATACAGCCTGTATGTATAAACAGCCTGTATGTATAAACAGCCTGTATGTATAAACAGCCTGTATGTACATACAGCCTGTATGTATAAACAGCCTGTATGTATAAACAGCCTGTATGTACATACAGCCTGTATGTATAAACAG